TCCTCGGAAGGAAGGTTGGGCAATCTACTTCTGTAGTGATACTGCCTTGGAAACCCAAGGAGGGGTTGCTATGAGTTAGGTCCGACTTGACGGCACATAACAACGACAACAATTTGCTGTATAAACTTTCACCTAAAACACAATTTTTAAAAAAGTTTGTACTGCAAAACACTATTCCTGCAAGATACTTATGGAAAGGGTCCAATATGTTTAGAAAACACTGCATACATCACTACCCTCTTAGAAATACATGATGCCATCAGCTCTGAAAAATTCAGCACTAAAGAACCTATTCAACTCTGCTTAACTTAGTGTTTCTCAAACACTTAATCATAGAACCATTTATCTAATAGCCCATAAAATTGGTATGTTAAGGGACACACATTAGGAACTATTGAACTAGATGAGTAATAGGAGAAAGATAATGACAGCTAGTATTTATTAAGCAATAAAGAGTGCCTGGCACTGTCCTAAGCACTTACATGTATTAATTCATTTAATACTCACAGAAACCCTATGAGATAGGTACTGTTATTATCTCCCCATACAAATGAGGAAACTGAGACAGAAAAAAGCTAAATAACCCAAGTCTTATATCTAGTAACACTATGAGGCCCTCAAAAACAGAGATCAAGTGGTCTTTGGTATACTCAGCACAGTACCTGGCACATGTTATGTACCCAGGAAGTGGCAGTTAAACTGGATTGGAGATAAATAAGATCCAAACAGGAAGAAGTGGTGATTAAAGTGTGTTGAGTAGCACTTTTAAGACCCTTAAGTGCTATTTACACAATGAGGGTACTCCCTCATCAATCAGGGTATCTATTTGTTTCAGACAAGACTATAACCTAGATAATATTTCTACCATAAACCATTTTGTACAGTATAACCATTTTCATATTTTATTTTAATGTACTCTACTTTAGGCTAATGCAAAGATGATAGAGAAAGATCAGATAGTGCCAATCCTAGTTTAGCCACAAGAAATAACATTTCATTTGAAGGTGCATTAAATTAGGCTTTTTGCACAACATAAAATATATTGGAAGAGGCAATACCACATCCATAAGGAACCACCTAATTGCCTTTGTTGGTAGAATGGATAGATTTTTTTCTAATGTAGTATAATAACAGCTATTGAGAATAATCAATAGCAGCTTTTTAAATAATGCAAATCTGAAAATATGTCAAGGTCAAAATTAGTCAATAAAATACTGGTGAATTTTCAGCAGATTTGAGGGAGGCCAGGGAGCACTCAGGAAGAAAAATCCACACACGTTCAGTTTACTACAAGGAAGGGCAGCAAAGGCAGCCTAAGAGGAGACTGTGTTTGTGTCCTACAAAATCAAAAGGAAATTTTATGTTTAGCACTTCAGGAGCTTCTAATGCAATGATTAAATGGTATAATTTCACATAACTTTAATATAAAGCATTCCTAAATAGTGATTATGATTGACAATCAATGGGTACTTATTGTGCTGTTTCAAGCATCTGATATGTGTAGCCTTGGGAGGTGCTACTGTTATTATCCCCATTTTCCAAATATGGAAATGGAAGCACAGAGAAGTAAAGCAGTTTTTCCATGATCCCACAACAGTCCAAGGTGAGTGAGGGATTCAAACACCAGCAATCTAGCTTCAGAGCTCATGCTATTAACCGCTATGCACACTGGCAACAAAAGAAGCTTCAAAGGCTCAGAATGCCCACAGGTCAGGGACACAAGATGAATTCCACTACCAACAGGAAGGTCAGAGACTCACTGGGTGGCCACCAGAGGGCTAAGTAGAACAGTGTGGTGTCAAATCTTTGCCCGGTGCATAGGACCTTC